ATTGCTATTGCTAATCAAATAGTGTGTAGTGAAGAATTCATGTGCATGTAGATGTACACTGTAGACTGTACAGGTACATATAATCATGAATAAGAAAAACAATTGAAGCTGGAATGGAAAATGAGCTCAGAACTTTACTTTAAGTATGGCTCTTTTTTTATAGACCTATCTAGAAGGCCAAGTGCACCATAACATCAACCCTAACATGATTTGAATAGATAGAGAAAAATCAAACAAGCATACAGTAGCACTGAAAATTACATCAAAATAAGTTTTAAAATAAGAAAGTTACAGCATTTCTAAGGTTACATTTTGGTATGCAATTGAGGAGCCAATGATGTCACACACCCACTATTCCATATGTATTTTATTATATATGAAATTTCAAATATCTCAATTTTGTATAGATTTGATAATAAAGAAGTCAAATTCTGAATTGAATCACAATAAGTTACCACATGATTTGTTCCATGATACTATGATAGTTTTACATTTTTGGAGCAAAAAATTAGAAAATTTGAAATGTTGTACATGTACAATAAAATACAATAAAATAGTGGGTGTGTGACATCATAGGCTCACGCATGACAAAATGTGTATACTGACCATGTTATGCATTAGTATTTTGTGAAACTACATGTTTTACATGTAAAACTTTAAAATGCCATAACTTTCTTATTTTACATCATACTTTGATGATAATGTTAGTGTTGTGCTTGATTGATTTTTCTTATTCAAATCAACTTGATGTCTAGTTGGACTTCCTCAGATCATTCATGACAAACTCTCTTTCCCCTTCCATACATTAGTGGAGTTAGTTTAGGCTGCATTGTGTACTGTACATGTAGTGCAAGCATGTAGTATTTTCAGTGATACATGTAGGTCCATAAAGTGGCTGGGGAGTGGCCTTGTGGTATTTGGCCAGAGGCTTAACCTCATGACCCCATGTACAAGCATGGACCTACTATGTCCAGTCCATGCTAAACTCTCTATCAAGTCCCTGCATGTACACTGTACAATGTACATGTACATACAATCAGGAAGAAGAACAAAAATTGAAGCTGGAATGGAAAATGAGCTCAGAACTTTACTTTAAGTATGGCTCTTTTTTATAGACCTATCTAGAAGGCCAAGTGCACCATAACATCAAGCTGATTTGAATAAGTAGAGAATAATCAAACAAGCATAACACTGAAAATGTCATCAAAATAAGATTTGAAGAAAGAAAGTTACAGCATTTTTAAGTTTTACATTTTTTTCATGAAACAGTGTTACAAATAACGTGGTTGGTATGCAAATGAGGGAGCCGATAATGTCACACTATCACTGTTCTTTATGTACATGTATTTTATTATATGAAATTTCAGGTATATCTATTTTGTCATCAATTTAATATTAGAGAAGTTCTCAATTGAATCACAGTATACAATAATGTTGATTTTTCATTACATGAGAAGAAAAACTACTGGTATGTTTTACATTATTGGAGCAAAAAGATGAAATACCGGTATTTTAAGTTTATAAAACAAATTTCATAAAAGATAGTGTGTGACATCATAGGCTTACTCATTTGCATACAGACCACGTTATGCATTTACTGGTAAATTATAATCACTGTTTTGTGAAACTACAGTATATACTACAGTACATACTACAGTACATATGTAAAACTTTAAAATGCCTCATAACTTTCTTATTTTACATCATACTTTGATGAAATTGTTAGTGTTGTGCTTGATTGATTTTTCTTATTCAAATCAACTTGATGTCTAGTTGGACTTCCTCAGATCATTCATGACAAACTCTCTTTCCCCTTCCATACATTAGTGGAGTTAGTTTAGGCTGCATTGTGTACTGTACATGTAGTGCAAGCATGTAGTATTTTCAGTGATACATTGTATAGGTCCATAAAGTGGCTGGGGAGTGGCCTTGTGGTATTTGGCCAGAGGCTTAACCTCATGACCCCATGTACAAGCATGGACCTACTATGTCCAGTCCATGCTAAACTCTCTATCAAGTCCCTGCATGTACACTGTGCAATGTACATGTACATACAATCAGGAAGAAGAACAAAAATTGAAGCTGGAATGGAAAATGAGCTCAGAACTTTACTTTAAGTATGGCTCTTTTTTATAGACCTATCTAGAAGGCCAAGTGCACCATAACATCAAGCTGATTTGAATAAGTAGAGAATAATCAAACAAGCATAACACTGAAAATGTCATCAAAATAAGATTTGAAGAAAGAAAGTTACAGCATTTTTAAGTTTTACATTTTTTTCATGAAACAGTGTTACAAATAACGTGGTTGGTATGCAAATGAGGGAGCCGATAATGTCACACTATCACTGTTCTTTATGTACATGTATTTTATTATATGAAATTTCAGGTATATTCAATTTTTTCATCAATTTAATAATAGAGGAGTTCTCAATTGAATCACAGTATACAATAATGTTGATTTTTCATTACATGAGAAGAAAAACTACTGGTATGTTTTACATTATTGGAGCAAAAAGATGAAATACCGGTATTTTAAGTTTATAAAACAAATTTCATAAAAGATAGTGTGTGACATCATAGGCTTACTCATTTGCATACAGACCACGTTATGCATTTACCGGTAAATTATAATCACTGTTTTGTGAAACTACAGTACATATTTTAAAATTTTAAAATGCCTCATAACTTTCTTATTTTACATTATATTGTGATGAAATTGTTAGTGTTATGCTTGTTTGATTTTACTTCAAATCAACTTGATGTCACTTCAAATCAACTTATGTCCAGTTGGACTTGGTCTTTAAGCTCCTTACACACTGTATGTGTAGGTCATTTATATCATTTGTATGACAACCACTCTTTCCCCTTTCGTACATTAGTGTATAGGTACATTTAGTAGTTACATGTAAGCCTGCACTGTATCTCTTTGGTAGTGCAAGCAATGATGTTCATCTAAACAGTGGCTGGGGAGTGGCCTTGTGAAAGGCACTGGTATTTGGCCAGAGGCTTAACCTCATGACCCCATGTACAAGCTACTTGGTGCTCCATACTCCTTTCACATTTGTTTTGCTTAAAGGTAAAGACCAGTATTGGAAACGCCCCAATTTCAATAAATGAAATGGTAGCTCTTATTACCAATCATGTGAAAGAATATGTTTTGACTACATGTACATGATGATAAAATTTATGCCGGGAAACCGCTTATTAATTGATATATTTGGTAAATTAGTTTATCTATTGGGATGTGAGAGATAAACGCACATGTCCCGCATGTGTGCCTAGTCCCATATACATCTTTCTGTGTACAGTGCTTGTAACTTTACCAAGACTGGACCAAATATCTTATCATTTTGATGATTCCAGAACCTTGCAGTACTACCATGGACTTACACACCAATACTTACATGTATATGCTAGATGATCAACCTTTTCTGATCGATTCCACGTTTCTTTCACAATGCAATAGCATGACCATAACTGGTCTTTATCTTTTACCCTTAATTTTGCTTAGCCAAAACATGTACTAACTTTTGGGGCTTTTCACACATGCTTTTTTAAGTCCTGTAATAAGAAAATTCATGCTGTTCTCACTGCAATTAATTTTCCCCATACTGTAGCTGTGAAGCGTGAATATTCACTGATTCACTCCATTGCGTAGTACCTGAATTTTTTCGTTTCTGTTCTCATTCATTTGCCTTGCACTGCAATTGTGGAGTTAGCACCACATTTGCGGGATAAGCCATGCAGCTATTTTGCAGGGCCAGCTAACCCTGTACTATACATGTAGGTGGGGCTGACCCACTTTGGTAAATATGTGTTTGAACAGAAAGTGGAATAAGCTTAAGACCAGACTATAGCCTAGGTGGGGCTAAGACCCCCCTTCAACCCCACCTACAGTACATGTATAGTCCGGGGTTAAAGGTATAGACAAGTTCTGGTCATGTGATTGGATTGTGAAAGAAACGTGGAATCAATCAGAAAAGGTTGATCATCTAAAATATAAGTATTGGTGTGTACTGCAAGATTCTCTGGGATCGTCAAAATGATAAGAAATTTTGCCCAGTCTTGGTAAAGTTACAAGACATGTATATAGACAGAATTTTAATACTTAAAGGGAAAGTCCACCCCAAAATAAGTTTGTTTCGATAGAGGCAGAATAATAAGAAAATCAGGTGAGTGAAAGTTTGAGCAAATTCTGAATGAAAATAAGAAAGTTATGAATTATTGAAGTTGTGATCAATCAAATACAAATTGGCAACTCTGTGACTTATTATACGAGCTCTCCTTCATTTGCTTTGTGCGTAATATTCCATAAATCATGTTTTCTTCTTTATTGACGGAATATATATTTGTTCCTTGCAGGGGGAGTATAGAAACATATTTGCAATTATTATATTTAGGGTGCATGTATGGTTGAAATTTTTCTTGAGGGAAAATGAAAATTTTAGATTTTTTTAGTACTGAGCAAATGGAAGTTGAGCTCGCATGATACGTCATAGAGTTGCCAATTTGTGTTTGATTGATCACAACTTCAAAAATCCTAACTTCCTTATTTTTAATCGGAATTAGCTCAAACTTTCACTGACTTGTTTCTCTCATTTTTCTACTCCTATTAAAACTAACTTAATTTCAGGGTGGACTTCCCCTTTAAAGGGAAATAAAATCCAAATAGACAACTACTCTAAATGAAAACAGATAAACCAGAGAAGCAAACTGATGAAATGTTCAATTAAAACTGACGAAATATAAAAAGTTATGAATTGTTGAAAGTTGTAATCACTATACGTATGGGAACTTCAAATTGGCTGAAGCGGTAATGTCAATATGATGTAGTGCGGGACTAATTTCCATCTGTTCCAACATATGAAATAAACTACATGTACAGGTCTACATGTATAATGAATGTTTAATGTTTAAAAGGTGTTCAATTGGACAAAAAAAAATTGTGATTACTCTTTTTTTTTCCATCTTTTTTCCATCTTTGTTTTCATTTTTCAGAGACATGGGCAGAAGTCTGCAAATAAGCACTTCCAGACTTGGACTTGGACTTGGAGTGAATCAGTACTTTGGATATATGCTACCTCTGTGTTTTTTTTTTTTTATCCCACAGAAAGTTTGACATGGAATTGAGGGGGGGGGTGCAATATAGTTTTAATCCACACTTTTGTGAAAAATGAGTTACATCCATTTCCATCAGCTTTCTAGATTGTTCTTCATCTTCTGACAATAATAAAAAAAGGAAATCAACTGATTAATAGGGAAATGAATAAATATTCTTCTCCTGAAAACAAGCAATTATCTGAACACACAAAAAAAAGTAACTCCCCCTTAATCAAAATGGCGTAGCTTTTTAAAGAAAAGGTTTTGAGCAAAATAAATTGGCAGGACTGTTCCTATATTTATTGACTAACTTTTCTCCCGAAATAAAATTGCTCCATTGAGTAATGCATGAGTGGACAAACAGGCAAAATTTTCACTTTTCAAAAGTCACAGTGGTTATGTTTTATGCTGTTTTGACAGTACATTTTAGCTTTTCTTACACTATTTTTAAAGTTTGCTCACCCAAGCATGACACGATTACAACCTCTTGAGTTCACACAACTTGTGATGAAACATTTTAGTTAAAAAATTATTAATTTTGCTCACCCAACAATAATATTGAAAAAAGTGTTGGGATAGGTGTAAGGTGGTCAAGCAATGTATGATAAACAACAACAACACAAAAACATGCACCAGAAACTAAATTCGCTAAAATCTTGTTTCACAGAATCCCCTAAATGACCCTTTCAAGTATGACTTTAGAAAAGTGAGAGTGACAATTTTCCCTTTAATGTTTGCTCACTCATGCATGACTTGGTAAATCAATCATATCTTCACAGAAAAGTTAGTCAATAAATATAGGAACACTCCTGCCAAGATTATTTTATTAAATACCTTGTCGTTAAAAAGTTACGCAATTTGGATTGAGGGGGAGTTACTTTTTGTGTTGTGTTCAGCATGAAAAATGTGCTAACCCATGCATTCCATTCTGGAGGCGCCCATGACAGATATTGTTTGGTAAAGCAAAGTGCATAATTTGTCAACAAAATGAATTTTATTCTGCAAAGAACACAAGGGATCTGACTTTCAAGATACATGTATGTAAATTTATTATTTTTGTCTAAAAGGGAGTTAGATGCACAAATATGAATTTAAATTATAATTTTTGGTCATTGGAGGATAGCACTGTATTCATTTAAATTTTTTGGAGGTGTTTATTTTTTCAAATGATTTCCAGTTTAAATTAAACATAAAGGTATTTAGTGGTAGACAGAGATTAATCAGGTTTCCATGTATAATATGCTACATGTACCCTCCATAAGTCAGATCTGATTTCACCCAAGTTTTATTTATTATTACACTTATGGCAATGCAATGATTAAGTACCGGTACCAAAGTGAAGAGTAAACATCAGCCTTGGAGTTGGCACTAGTAGGCGCATTTATACTGTCAAATACCTCATTTTGAAAAGTCGCGATGTTTCGCGCACCCTTTTACACTTGTGCGGAAACATCACCTACTGAAAAGCTCAGTGATGTCTTGGCGTGTTTCAGTTGGTAATGCGCATGCGCAGCACTCCGATGCAAACACTTTCCTCTTTCTATCTTCCCTTGTTATTCTTTGTTTTTCCTTCTATCGCCTTCTCTTATGTTATTCTTTATCACTTCCTTCTATCACTTTCTCTTTCTGTGTTTCCTTATGTTATTCTTTATGTATTCCTTTTATTACCTTCTCTTATGTTATTCTTTGTTTTTTTTATCATTCTATCACTTTCTCTTTCTGTCTTTCCTTATGTTATTCTTTGTTTCTTCCTTCTATCACTTTCTCTTTCTGTCTTTCCTTATGTTATTCTTTGTTTCTTCATTTTTGTATCACCTTCTCTTATGTTATTCTTTGTTTCTTCCTTCTATCACCTTCTCTTATGTTATTCTCTGTTTTTTATCATTCTATCACTCCCTCTCTCTGTGTTTCCTTATGTTATTCTTTATTTATTCCTTTTATCACCTTCTCTTATGTTATTCCTTGTTTTTTAATCATTCTATCACTTTCTCCTTCTGTCTTTCCTCATGTTATTCTTTGTTTCTTCCTTCTATCACTTTCTCTTTCTGTCTTTCCTTATGTTATTCTTTGTTTCTTCCTTTGGTATCACCTTGTCTTATGTTATTCTTTGTTTTTTATCATTCTATCACTCCCTCTTTCTGTGTTTCCTTATGTTATTCCTTGTTTCTTCCTTCTATCACCTTCTCTTATGTTATTCTTTGTTTTTTATCATTCTATCACTCCCTCTTTCTGTGTTTCCTTATGTTATTCTTTGTTTCTTCCTTCTATCACCTTCTCTTATTTTATTTTTTGTTTTTTATCATTCTATCACTTCCTCTTTCTGTGTTTCCTTACGTTATTCTTTGTTTCTTCCTTCTATCGCCTTCTCTTATGTTATTCTTTGTTTGTTATCATTCTGTCACTCCCTCTTTCTGTGTTTCCTTATGTTATTCTTTGTTTTTATCATTCTATCACTTTCTCTTTCTGTCTTTTCTTATGTTATTCCTTATGTTATTATTTGTTTCTTCCTTCTATCACCTTCTCTTATGTTATTCTTTGTATATATCGTTCTATCATTTTTCTTTAAGGACGACATCTAGCTCCGCTCCTAAAGTTATGTCACCTAACATCGCGATGTTACAACTGCGAGCGTTTATACTTGCCAAACACGCCAAAACACGCCAAAAGATCACACTTCGATTTGGAATGTTTTGGAATTGGCATTTCTGCCGGTAATGCGTAGTTGCCCTTAGTAACATCACGGTCAGGCTCCGGTTTGGCATTTTTTGGCGTGTTTGGATGACAGTGTAAATGCCCCTAGTGTAACCATTATAAACTGTTTCAGGAAGCACTCGTGCATTAACAAAGGCAATCGCATATTTTTTATGGAGAGGGGGGGGGGGGAGGAGGGATTGACACCCCCCCCCCCCCCCCCCCCCCCCACAGTAAGGATAGGGTTTAAGTTGGTCTTGCATGCAGCTTCCTGAAACGGTTACACTGGTGCTAACTTCAAGGCTGATGTTTACTCTTCACTTTGGTACTTAATTAGTGCAGTACCACAAGTGCGATGATAAATAAAATGTTGGTGAGTGTGAAAAACCAGTTCTTATTACTTTTAGAGGGCAGTGTATTTCACTCAGAGTAAATTTTAATTTTTAGTTACTACTTTACATTGCAGAACACTTTTTACACTGTTTCTTATTGGTTAGCACTATATTGCTCTGAAAAAAGCATTGATTTTTTTTGTTTTGTTTTGTTTTGTTTGGGGGGGGGGGGGGGGTAATTGTTTAAAACTTGATGTCATTTTCCAAAACTTCCAAAAAATATTGTCAAAAGACACACTTGGGGGTTAACACTTTATTGCACCTACGCCCTTGGCTAGAATAGTATTTTTAATTAGCTCAACTTGAACCATTCTTAGTAAGATTAGAAATGTACTTATTAATTACTGTTTTGTAGTTATTAACCACTTGACTGCTACCCATATGTGTTCTCGCTCTTGTATGCCTGTGCTTACCACGTACATGTGCGTGCTTACCACGTACATGTACGTGCTTAGGGCAGTGCACTTTCAAGACCATAGCACTGCATAATGCCAAGCCCTGCTGTGTAATTAACACTGCTATGATGTTATACAGGTCTTGAACAGTAGATGGCGCTCTTCCAAAAAAATATGGTTTTGATGTGTACAGTGTACAGTTTTTGTCAGGTTTTTGTACAGTACAAAAATGCTGTAGCACAGGGGGTATGAACGCGTTTTAAGCCAATAGCAGTCAAGTGGATAAGCTGTGGAAAAAATAGACAAAACATTTGATTACTTTCATAATTTGCAATATGTTCATTAAATGCAACATATTATTTTTATTATTATTGTTATTATTATTAGCCATCAAGTGTTATGATAATAATAATAATAACACATGTAATAGTAAAAATTATATTGCAGAATGCATTGTGATAATTTGTCATTTATTTTTAAAGTTATAATCCATTATATGCCATTGTTACATCTACTATTATCAAAGCCATAGTTACAAGAATTAGTTGTTGGTATTCAACTAACAACCCTAAAAAAGCTGAGTCTTATGAATCCATCTCACAGCTAAGGGGGGGGGGGTGGATCTCCACCATAAGACCTCGATGGTCAACCACGCGTTCGCCACAAAAGTCTGCATGCACGTCACCCACAAATTAATGTTCAAAACTGTTTACCGGTGGTCAATTTCATTAATTCAATAATCAATTGATTATGCTGATTTATGCGAGTTCTGAACTTTGCTCTAATCAAACTAAGCTTCAAAACTGCCAATTTTGTGTATAGACACTCTCTGTAAGACTCTGATCAAATGTTCTTTTAAAAATTTGGTATCAAAAGTTTTTCTTATGTTTTTTATTATTATTATTTTTTTTTTTCTTACTATTTTCTTTGTTTTACAAATTTTTTTTTATTGTTTTTTTAGATGGAATTTGTCAATGACACATTTACGATCATAAACAGCATGGAATCGATTGGTTTTAATCAGTAAAGGCAAGAATAATATACATTTATGAATTTTGGCTGAAAATTTTTTTTGTATTGGAATTGTACATGAAGCCATGTTTTTGAGCAATGTTTGGTCTGAGGTGCGCAACTTCAAAACCACATGTGTGGACGTCGCGAATTTGGACAAAAAAATTGTGCAAGACTCAAAAGAAAAAGTCAATACACACTGTGTCTACTGCGTTGCAGGCATGTTGCGTGAAACGATGGGCCTTTTACTGTTAAGATGGTATGTACATGTAGATGGAAAATGTAATGCTGATGCTAGAGGTGCAGCTGTAGTACTTTGGCTCTTTATATGCAATCATTTTTGATATATTATCTTTGTAATCATATACATGTACATAAATTATGTATGCTTGTTATATAGTTTATAGGGCCTACAGGGTAACCTTATTACAAGATCTTCACCTTGTTATCAGGCTTTCAGTGGTACCTCATTAAGAGCGGTTCCTCATGTTACCTTGCTGTAAATTGAAAACCCATGATAATAATAATATAACATGTGTAGGGGAGACTGGAAGTTCAGTGGGACACTCCATTATCTTAATAAATATGAAGACAATGTTAAATTCATTTACATCAGTCAAAAGGCTTCACTCAATGCCATTTAAAAATATGCCAAAAACCACTGTAAACTTTTTCACACAAGTACAGGATAAGCGCCTTATTTTCACTACTTTTATTACTGATTTTAAACATTTATTCAGATTTGTTTTTGCGGTTCCGAACGGGTGATCTGACATTTGCTCCTGCGACAATTGTATTTGCTCGCCTTATTTTCTTCAAAGGTATAGGGTTATGGTTCTGGTTGTGATAGGTTTCTTGGTTCAGAATAATAGGAGGATAAGGATTAAGGTTAGTGTTAGGTTTGGGTTTAGGGTCCATGATTGGCTTAATATGCAGACTTTCCATTGGAGCAAGTGTAGCCAGAACAAATGTCATAGAATCTCCCAACCAAGTGGATACCCCTTGTGATAGTGATTATCCTCTGAGGTGATTAAATGATTTAATACAAGATTTTTTGATGGCCATCAATTTCAGTTGTTTTTAATATCTGGGGTAAACTGAGACATAAGTAATGCAATGAGCAATATCGGTATCCTTTTTTTGTGTCTGATTGTACGCCTATATGGGTCTCCCAGTTTACCCCGAGGTGGCTCAATTAACCCCCAAACTAAGGGTTTGCAAAATTTATGATTACATGAAAAGTCAAGCTGTGAGAATTCAATCTATAATTGCCATATTTACCTATGTAACTATTATGCATCCTAGAAAAAAGGAAACCATATTTCAGGGCAGAAATTTTCTGTCATAATAATAATTCCATCAATGAGATATACATTTATGAAAAGCTCTACTTTTATTTGA